TTAATAAAACTGGAGACAGTATATTGTCATGAGATTAAATTATTCTTAATTTATAAAGTAAAATAATATCTTATCTGATAGAGGCACCAGTAATATTTATATCACTATATCACTTTTATCACATTTCCTATTGGTATGGTACATTACCAGAAAATGTATAGATCAAAAACATTATTCATAAAAGTTATTAACACCAAAATGTTTATAAAGTTGTATGCATTACTTGAATTGATTCTTCTTCTCTTACTTATTATAGTGGCATATTTTAATATTTTTCTGAATAGTTCTAAAACGTTCTTAGATATTATTTTCTTACAGTTTTGTGAAAGAATAAAAGCTATAACTTTTCCATATTCCAAATACTTTCAAAATTTTACTTACTTACAAAGCTTGTATTTCTGTTTTTTTATGAAACGTTTTGGAGTATTTATGATAAAAATTATTGTTTTATTAATAAAAACCATATTATACTTACTCCAAAGTCAATTGAAAATTGAAGTTTTACGAGGACGGTCAAATATATTATTTAACAGATCTGTTTTAAGTACTACACGAAGCGCTGTACGCAAAGTAACCAAGCTATGCAAGATATCCTCGTATTATCTCTGCACGGATTGAGATGTTCCGTCTCTTTTGTTCAAGTAAAATCAAAGCACAGCGTTGCCAGATGTTAAATAAATATTAAATTTCTTCATTTTTTACTTCGAGATCTGAGACAAAATTTTCAGTTAGGTTTTTATGTTCGAAAACGTCGCCTAAGCCGCTTGTAAGTGATGAATCGCGCGATCTAGGCAATGGTATGTTTATAAACCATGAAGCAAATTTTTTTACCTTTACTTTGTCTCAAAGTGACTAGTCTGTACAGGGTAAGATATGCAATGCCAACCTTATGGAAATTTCGCCAGACGTTGCCAGTTTTATGCAGTGAGCGATGGCGTTCTCTATTGTCTTTCCAAATAAACGGAATAAACCAGGAGTTCTCAACAAGTCCTCACGTACAATTTTATGTAATTTACAAATATCGTTTACTAATAATTTTACATACTACTATACATTATTTGTTTATATTAGTAACTTATTAACTTTTATTAGTAGCAGTAGTATAATAAAATGTACATTAAATAAACATTTGTTTCAAAGTTTTTCAAATACTTTCATCTAAGTTATTCAGTAATTAAGAAGCAATTAGAGTAATTCTTGTACAGAATATGTTTAAAAGCTTGATACATCCAGGGCCTTAATTAGTCTTTATTTGTTCTTCGAAGCTCGTAAACATATTCGAGTTACGATTATTTGTACCATCTTGGATGTACTGTTACTGTTTTGTTATTGTTATTATTTGTTGGTGGCTGTTGTTGGGATTTGCTGTTGGCAATTATTGTTATTTTCTGTTGTTGGCTATTGTTATATTTGACGCCGAATTTTTACCGTAAAATGGAGGAAATTGTTCAATGGAAACGTGGAAAAGCTCTGAAACTTTCAGATAAGCAGATATTAATAAATATTATTAATTATCATCTTAATCAGGATAACAACGACTCTGTATCAAGTGTAATTAGGAAAGTGTCAAAAATGAGTGGTGTTTGCGAAAATACTCTGTTTCGCATACGACAGAAATATTCATCACCTGCTGGATTACAATCTCCAAAGAGCAGGCCCAAGAAGCGAAAGGTTGGTAATTCTATTGACAACAAGCACGATAAAGGTGTCAGGGGCCAAATTCGTAGAATAGTTCATCAATTTTTTCGTGACAACATACCACCAACAATAAACACAATTTTGTGTTTATAAAACGTGACAGAAATTCAATTTTGAATTAAAAACCAGAAATCATCTCGTGGCGCCATCGTTATTTACGCGCAATTCGTCAATACCGTGCAGAAGGATACAATATAGTGTATTTGGATGAATCATGGGTAAATATCGGGCACAGTGTGAAAAAGAATGGGTTGATAAAACAATTACATCTCATTGCGATGCTTTTGTTCGTGGTCTGACAACAGGATTAAAAGCTCCAACAGCTCGTGGTGCACGGTTCGTTTTATTGCACGGAGAATCTACCGTGGATTTGTTGATGGAGCAGAGCTCACGTTTTGGGCAAAGAAAAATACTCAGGACTACCACGACGAAATGGATGGACCGACCTTCGAAGATTGGTTCGAAAATAACTTAATGCTAAATTTGACAGAAAAAACTGTTGCATTTCTTAATTACTATTTTATTTTAATTTAACCTAAGTATGTTGTAGCAAATACTATTTATGTTTTAGAACCACTGGCAGAAGGAAGCCAGACAGGGTCGTTAGTAGGCATTAGTACTTATGCTACCCTCAACACAAAAGATGGATTAGGCTAAGTAGTAAGAAGTGACGTTTATTTTAATACAAGTTAGCAAAGAAGTATGGCATCAATGTTGTGCATGTACTCTGTACAGACTAGTCACTTTGAGACAATCTATAGTATTGAAGTGACTACAAGTAATAATTGGGAGTTTTAGTACCAGGATTTGCATGTTCAAGGTCGGAGGCTTGGTTTGAATATGTATGAATGTTTGAGAACAGAAAACGAAAATTCAACCCCACACGAAAATTTCAATAAAATCTGTAAATTAACAAAATTGTCATACAGTACGGTTTTTGCGGTTATTAAAAGGGGAGATGTTACTGATCACAGCTTAAACGCGAAAGTGCGTTTAACAAAAATTTCATAAAATTATAAAGAAAACAAAGTTCCAACATTAGAATAAATGCACAGTAAATTACAAAGCAACAGTTGTTATTCTTACCAATCCTTGGAAACTCTTGTGCAAAATTCTTGTGCAATGCGGATTTACATACAAAAGCTTAATATGAGAATATTTATAATGGAATCAACCCGTATTGTGAATCTTCGTCAAATTTATTAAAGAAATATTAAACATTAACGCGAATCAGGCAGAAACATTGTATACTTAGACGAGACATGGTTTGATACCCATTACGTAGGTGAAGAAATCTGATATTTTAACATTTATGCGGAATAAAAATCTAGAAATACCTCAAAGCGTTCCAACAAAAAAAAAACAAATTATAAGAAATAGTAAAATCACAAAATTTTCAGCCAGAGTATGTAATTGATAATTGGCAGAAGAATGAGAGCATTCAGTTTTTTGGTTACTTCCTTACTACTGTATTTTCAATCCAATAGAGTTAGTTTGATCATATATAAAACGTAATTTACGGAAAACTAATCACTCTTCATCATTAAACAAGAACAAGAATATTTCGTTCTGCGAAGAGAATGAGTAAAAAGGTTAAGTAGAATATAAAACTTAAAAAAAAAGCAACAAAAACCCCGAATACATCAGGATATATGTAATAAAGAAAAACAGATAGTATTTATGAACTGATTAACAAACTGTAACAGAAAAATGAGCTTTGACTTTGTGAACTGAATCGGTAGACAAGAGGCTTCTTCTTTTATCGTTTTCTAGTTAGTTCATAAAAAATAGCTATTACTACTAAACAATTAAAAAATACTTTTCTAATACAAATATTTGGTATATAAAGGATGAAAAATCATTAAAAAAAGCAAAATACCTACAAGGAACCAAAAAACTTTTTAAAACGAAAAAAAATTAAAATGACTTAAAAGTAAAAAAGTATGAAAGTGTTATTTTTAAACTTTATAGTAAATTTCGAGTAAATTTCTTAATAATATAAGCTTTTTACTGGCATCTTGCTATATTGGCATATTTTACACAAAATTAAAATAGGTTCTGTTTAATTTGCCTGCAAATTTAAAAAATTAAATTTATAAGGGTTACAAGGCACTTCCATCTAGCTCTATCTGTAAGCGAATATTTGAACTATATTTAATAAAAGTCCAGACACTTTGATCTTTATTTACTTAAAAGACATTGCCACATAAGTACATCACTTTTTCTGTCTTAAAAAATTCTCTTAATTTTTGGCACTAACATCCTTTTTTACTTCAAGTCTTCAATTATTGACTTCTTCACTGTTCTGTAATAGCAGCTATGTTAATTTATGGTGGATTGGGCCTACAGGAGATACCACATAAAAATTTGCCAGAAACTCTATCTCAGGTTGATGCGGAAACAAGTTTGTTATTTTTGTTTTATTTCATTTACGCGAAATCATTTCATGTTACAAACCAAATGTAAAGACAAGTTAACTTATATTCATCAAATTAAGTATTCTAGAAAAAACTAAATTTCGTACACCTATAAGTTTCTCAGATATCACTGATAAGCTTGAGACTTCTGTTTTCAATTGACTTTGACTAGAGAGTACCTCTTTTTAGATAACGTGTTTGTATTTCTTGTATTGAGAGGGTAAAATTTCTTCTTGGAAGAAGTATAGTAGATATTATATCTTCGTAATTCCAAAAAATGTATAAATAAGGGTTGAATAGCAGACAAACCATCAAGTATGTTTTAATGCTCCTGAAGTACTAATCTAACTAGAAACATGTACCACTTACTTGTAAATAATAAATATTTTCAAATATTTTATCTGATAAACAACTTTTGTGAAAATTTATAAAAAATAGTTTTTCATGTTGTCGTTTTCGTCATATTCACATAATCATATGAGACCATAATATTGCACAAACTTGTATTTTTGATCGAAAATTAAAATATTTTACTGGTGCCCATACTCATTTCCAAAATAAAGTGTACTAATAAATGTAATAAGTACTTAAATTAATAAAAATCTGAAATGTCAAGACACTGACAAACAAAATATATAGATATATACCAACCATCCTATAGTTATTCCTTTGCTAATTTATCACAGCCTCCTTTCACACAAACCTTTCACATCATCTAAAAACAAACAGTTCAGATCACAGTTTTTCACTATTAGCCAAACTGTAGATGTCTTAAACAAGAATACATTATAACACAGGATTATTCATACACAAATGTTAGCTGATTAACTACAATTGTTTTTAATATCTCTTGAAATGGTTAAAGATAACCAGGAATATAAACTTGGAAAATTAAAGTTTCATCTTGGATGTCATAAATTATTTCTATATACAAGTATATACTTGTTTTTAAAAAATTATTATGACATCAAAATATTTACTGAATTCCATCTTTAAACCTGTTAAAAATGGTCAATGAAGCCTAAATATTGGTGCTTGTAATATAACATTAAAAATTGTTACCAATGTATTCCTATTTAAATTACTTTTGTTCTAGTTCACAGTTTGGCATATTTTTGATGCAAAGGCACTGGCCATCAATTGGTCTCATAAGTAGTGAGCAGGGCAGCATCCACAGGCTCCAAACAACTAGGACAAGTAAGACTTCTCATAAGCCAATCATCAATGCAAGTCATGTGATAAGTGTGCATGCATGGAAGATACCGAAGTGCGTCCCCCACTAAAAATTCACCCATGCAAATAACACATTCTCTAGCCTTTTTGCATCCATCATATATTCCTGTAGGAAGATGTTGGATTAAACCAATTCGTTTGGCTATTTTCACCTGTTCTTCTTCTGTTAGTTGGGTAACTGAACGAGTTACACTTGGAGATGGATGATATACAGGGGAAGCTGCCTGAATTGGGAGTACCTCCTATATAAACAATATAGACTTTAAATATTTCAACTAAATTTATAACACATGTCATTTTTAAATAGAACTGTTAATAGTAGTGTTGGAAAGCAATTTATTAAGGACAAGTTAAATAGATTTTGGTATGCATGGAAAATATAAAGTAAAACTAATTAAGATGAGCATCTAAAAGGTCAAAACTTTTGGTAGATAATAAATTTTGTAACAAAGAATACAATTATACTATACTGCCGTCCTAACATAAAAGATCCTATCTGCAAGATTTGGTAAAATAAATGACTTTATTTACTCACGGCATGCGTAAACATATTATCTATGTATGTACAAAAACAAATTGTTCTATAAGAGTCGTAAGTACCTTATTATATACCTAAATGTTTGGTCCTAAATGATTAAAAAGCCATGTTCACTAACATAAATTGTCCTATCTCACATTTACTAAGAAAAATTGTTCTTTTTAACTTTAAAAATGCAGTTAGGACTATTTAAGTTAGCATTTTATACTAAGAGGCATCAGTTAGGACATGTTTGTAACATAACTTCAAATAATTAATTATAAAAGGTTTATTATTTATTTACTTATTAACGGATATACCATTTACATTGGAACAAAATATAATATATAAAATTTTACAAAGTTAGCATAACATTGTAAAATAATTAGTAAAGTTTAACAAAAACTAATAATTAACTTGAATACAAACTAATATCACACAAATAACAGTCTCTTTATCACATTTTTAAATTGTTTTAAGGACTAGAAAAATAAGTCCAGATCACTTTGGTACCTATTATATAGTCTCACCATATGAGTAAGAGGCTTAAAGTATTCATAATTAAATTGATGAAATGGTAGATGAAACAATGAAGTATGCCTAGTTCCATGAATAGTGTTAAGACCTAATAGATTTAAAAGTTCAGGGCAATTTATCAAATTATTAGCATTTTGTAAAGGAATATTAAGCAAAAATAATCTTTTCGCTGATTCATAGAAACCATTTTCAAGTGATCAGCTATCATACTATAACTGTATGGGATAGAGAGGTCATGAAAAGCACTACGGTAATGATAGTGTTTACCAAATTTATGCTGAACACGATCAAGCTTGTCTATAGATGTTTGATAGTAAGGTCCCCATACAACTATTGCATATTCTAGTCTGGAGCGAATGAGACTATTAAAAAGAATTGGTAAAACAAAAAATGAAAATTGAGAAGTGTTTCTAGTTATAAACCGTAATTGTTTAAATGCACTGTTTACTGTGACCTGTAGATGCTTACTAAATACCAATTTACAATCAAAATAAACACCTAAATCCCTAACACAGTCCTGCCTAGACAGCTTAGTGTTATCAATGGTATAATTGTAATTTAAAATTGTTTGCTTCCTATGAAAAGTAATAACACAACAATTATCAATGTTCAATTTTAATTCATTTAGTTTGCACCAATTGCAAAATCTGCTGAGATCCTCTTGTAGCTGAATACTGACAAGTAATGACTTTATAATTTTTTTTATCATCAGCAAAGTTGAGAAATTTTGAATATTTAATGACTTTCTCAATATAGTTAACAAAGAGGACAAAAAGAGAGAATGTCAACAGATTGAGACAACACACCATTTATCTTAATGCTTTGGGTGTTACCCACAAGAAAACTATCATACCAATCAAGCCATTAGCCAACTATACCAATGGCTTCTAATTTACTGATTAAATAATGATGATTTACTTTATCGAATGCTTTTGAGAGAAGTCAGTATAGATGATGTCCACCTGGTACTTCCTCTCAAAGGCACCCATTATATCATCTTGGTAGACTAACAAGTTTGACACTGTGCTCCTCCCCACTTGAAAGCCATGCTGTTGGGGTATTATTATATTGTTTGTTAGTTTTGATAAGTGAGAAGTCATTAGCTTGTAGAGAAGTTTTGGGATTGCTGACTGTATACAAATTCCTCAGTATTTTTCAATATATTCCCTTTTATCTGACTTAAAAATGGGTACAATATAACTGTTTTTCCAGAAAGAAGGGAACTCACCAGTCATAAGAGAAAAATTATAAAGATATTTTAGGTGCATAGTAAGAGAGCATAGACAGTGCTTTAATAATAATAGTGGGATTCCATCAGGCCCTGAGGAGAATTTGTTTGGAAGTTTGCTTAATTCATCAAACACTGATATAGTGTAAACTTGAATTAGGTTTACAGGGTCAATGTGTCTGACACAGTTTTCAAAATCTGGAATGGGAGCACCTTTATCTTTCTCATATACACTAGAGAAGAACTCAGCAAAAAGGTTAGCAATTTCGATATTGCCTTGTGCCCTTCTGTTACTGAGATACATTTCTTGGGAGTAACTCAAAGATTTATGAAGTCATTTTATTATTTATTATTTATGCCAATTTATCCCCAAAATTCCCAAAAGGTATTTGTTATTGCCAGACATTGGGAGTATTCTCATGGTTTTTGTATTTTAAGAAAATATATATTGTGAGAAATGGATAAAGGGTAAGTTTAATAATGTTACCTTAGATATAAGCAATAATTGATTGTAATTATTGTTTGTTGTAGCAGCAAAAAATATAGAAGCATATGCATCTATATTCTTTGGTAGTAGCATTGCAGCTTCACTTAGCCGGAACAGCCATAGGTATAAATGTATTATGGTATTTACCCAAAAGTGAGAATAATCCAGATAAAGCATCTGGGTCGTCCAATGAATTCAACAATAATATAATAGGAAGTGAGTCACATCCTAGTTACGAATCTAAGTATTATCATTTATGTTACATATATATTACAATGTAAATTGTGTATTAAGTTTTAAAACTTCTTATATAGACATTGTCTGTTTTTCAATGTACCTCCAGTAAGTTGTTGTTCCATCATTTGCGTGGTCTTCCTACTGATTGTCTTCCTTTGGGGAACGGTCTCTTGCTGTCTTTACTACTCTATTTGTTGTCATTTGGCTTCTACTCTTCTATTTCTTAATCAGTTCTTGATATTCTCCACCTTAAATCTATGTTGTATATCTATACTTCTAGCTCTATCCCATAGTGTCTTACCATAAATTTTTCCAAGTGTTTTCTTCTCTGCTATTTCTAACATTCTTGTTGTCCTCTCTGTGTCCGGTCTAGTTTCTAATGCATATGTAATTATTGGTCTGATGACTGTTTTTTTAAATTCTGCCTTTCATTTCTTTCCCGATATTTTTATTTCTCCATTTTGTTTCATTCAGGTAGCCTGCAGTCATTTTTGCTCTATTCACTTGAACTCACTTAACATTAACATGTTAAATTTTCTGGTGGTTATATTAAATTGGTCTGCATTGCAGATAATTTTAAATTGTTTTTCTCCCATTTGGTATCCTTTTTTAGATCTTACTTTTATTGTTATTTTATCGATAATCAGGTTAAACAATAGTGGACTCAGGGAATCTCCTTGTCTTATCCCATTGCCAGCTACAAAGGGGTCGGTTAGTTCTTCTTCTTTTACTTTTATTGTATTCTTTTGGTAGATATTTTTTTCAATTGTTTTGATTATTCCTAGAGGTATCTCTCTTGCATACAGTAAGTGGATAACATCTTTTAATTTGATGCAGTCAAATGCCTTTGTAAGGTCCACGAAACATAGATATGCCAGTTTATTGTATTCTAATTATTTCTCCTGCACTTGCCTCATTATAAATATTGCGTCAGTGCATGATCTTCTTGAATCTTGTTGCTCTTCTGCTAGTTTTATAATTTCATTTAGTCTATTTGTTATCACTTTGGTTTTTAATTTTAGTGTTGTGTTTAATACATTAATTCCTCTGTAATTCTCCAGGTCTGATTTGTCTCCCTTTTTGAAGAGAGGTATTAGGAAGCTTGATCTCCATTCTTGAGGAAATCTGTTTTGTTTTGATTTGTTCTATTATTTTATAAAATTTGGTATCATGAGATTAAAAGTTTTCAGTTAATTAGAATTCAGTTTCATTTAGGACAATTTCAGTAATACCAAAAAAAATGTGCTTCATATACACTAAGCTAAATTGTCACCTAAATTGTCAGAGTGACAACATAATCAAAAATCGACTAATCTGGAAAGAATGAATCAAAATTATGACTAGCAATTAAATTCTATTCTCCGACATAATATATAAAATAAAACATAAAGAATTTCTTAAATTACCAAGCGTTATACAATGAAAAGAAACAAAAACTGGATTTTCTCAAAACCTAAATTTTGCAGATAGGACCTTTTATGTTAGGACGGCAGTATATATCACCATTGATAAAATTTAAGCACAAAATTTAGCAAAACAATAGAGAAAATATAAGATTCAGGACCTATAAGGGATAGAATACCACCAGAATGCTGATGGCAAAAACAAAGATTACACACAATATTATACCTCTACTGAATTCAGTTTACAGAAAAATATATTCATGGTCAGAATAAAAGCGAATTTGGTCTATTAGATCGTTTGTTGTTTTTAAAATTACCAAAACATACTGTTATTGATCAACACATTTATAGCAAACAGCTGATTGTCACTTACCTGATAAGCTGGGGGACCCAACTGATCAGAAGAGGATTCTCTCACACTATCACTACCCCTTAACAAGGAAATATCATCTGTGGTAGATCTCTTAAAGCAGTTACAATTACCCATGGTAAATACTTGTCATACAATTAAGTCGTATTTATAATAAACATTAATGTCATATTTACCAAAAATTCTACCAAACCATACTTTTCTATACATGTGTAATAGCTAATTTAGAACTAATTATTGCAAACTTATGTTTGTACTATTTTACCTAAACATAAGATCACAGAAATTACAAAAAAACACTTTAGTGTTAACACAATGGAGTATGAGATACTTGGAGATACTGTAAAGTAATTTAGCATGAGTTCACAATACAATGTCTTTTCTCTTTTTCTTGGAAATGTCACTGTCAAAGTCAAAACATAAACAAATATGACATTTGTCAAAAATTCGTATTTGTCAATACGTTTTGCTATTCCATTATTAATTTCTGCAATTATTTATAATATAGTGATCAATAATACAGCACAATAAGATGTCCTAAAAACCAAATATTTTGTAAAGGGATAAAATACCAGTAAAATTTAAAGAAACAAATACCGGTCGGACAGCTGCCTGAAGGCCTGAATGCCTATTAGGAAAAAGGCTACTTTATCTCATAACATGATATAACCTCAAATTAGTGATATGGAGGTATAAAAAAAATTGATTTTAAACAACTGAAGATACTAGAAATGTAGGTTAAATGTAAATACATCTATATCATTTTAATAGTAAATTTATAGAAATAATTTTTAGTTCCTATATTAAATTGGTTTTTAATTTATTTGTACATTTACCAGGAATCGGAATGTTATTTATGTCTACTATTCTGGCTTTAGATCAATGTTTTAAGTATAGTTGGACTACCCATTAATAAATTCTGAACTTAGAAAAACTTGTATGTCAATTGTGTATAAAATATCCATTCCTAAATTAAAATATCCATTCAATTACTAAAACAGGTCTTTAGTATTAGTATGTTTATTTAATTTTTTATCATTTTAATAATTTGCAGCATGGGAACTTGGACCCTAGAAGTTGCCAAAATGGCACTTTATATAGTTTTTCCTGTGGCTCTTTTTCATTACTTTAACCAACCACAGTATTTTGAAGATTGGGTTGTAGAAAAGAAACGTGAATTGTTTCCCCCAGAAACTGAAGCAAAAAGAGAATTTCAAAGGACATTAGAAGAAATTAAATCGAAGCAAAATCTAAAAGTACTAGAAAACTTAGAAAGTGTAAAAAAATAAAGTGGTGTTTTTAAACTTACCTGTGTTTTTAACTGTTTTGTGAGATTTTTCTTTAATTGGGAAACCTGTTTATGTTGCTATTCTTATATGTATTTATTTAATTAATATACAAGATATCCCATGATATAGCACTAAAGTTTACATGCCAATATAAAGTGAACTGCTTAAAATTAGAAATGTATACTTGAATATATTTATATTAATATTAGTTTTTTCTTGAATGATTTAAATATAAACCAACCTGTGCATGTTCCTGTTTAAATTCCTTTCGTTTCCGTTTTTCAAGCTCCCTATATTGTTGTTTTTTTTTTGGTTGTTTGACTTAAAGGGTCATTGGCATAGTACAATTTAAAGTTTTACAATTTTTTTGGTACATTTATGGAATATAAGTACAATGACAAATTTTTCAGTTCCGTGTAGGTCAAGTCTGGCATTTGTTGTCAAAATATTCCTAAAACAGTCTGAATTTATGTAGTGGTTAACATAACATAGCCACATAAAAGGCAAGTGGCTAGTATAAACGGCACCTAGTATGGTTCACAGAGCAGTATTTTGTATTCAATATGGTTTTACTGAATCGTAAATAATACAAGAATAAGCGAATTTGGACCTGATCAATGACTTGTACATAAAAGTCAGAGGTTTACTATTTTCTCTTCATGGGTTCTCCAGGATAATCTGTTGTCAAATGCCTAAATGTTTAATTGTCTCAACATATTTTATTTCTTTATTAAATAGTTTTAATTCTTGAGTGATATACCTTCTTTTTTTTAATATAACCTTTGATTTTGTTGTTGATAATTGAAGATCAGTAGAATTTGTCCATGATTCGAGATTTCCTAATACTTTCTGTAGATGAACCTGTAGAGTTTTATCATTTATCTCCTTAACAAAAATAATTAAATCATCATCAAAGAGTCTAGCTTTTACTGATAAGTCACAAGTGGAGATAATATTATTAAATGCTTAATTTAGACCAGTCGGAATTCTGTTTTTTGAATATCTTGTATTAGATAAAGTACCATTAGCTCAAACATTAAATATTTGAATAGGTACGCAATTTTTTATAAATTGTGCTATATTACCTTTTATTTCCTATTAACTAAGTGTTTGAATAATGCAATGTCACCATACCCTATGATATGCTCTAATTATGTTAAAAAATACTGTGATAAGTTTTTGTCCACATGTCATTGCTTCATGAATTTCAGACTCAAACTAATAAGATTATCTAGTGTTAAACAATTCTTCCGAAATCCTCTTTGTTCCGGGTCGAGTAATTTTTTATTTTCTAAAAACCACATTAATCTGTTGGATATGATTTTCTCAAGGACTTTACAAATAACACAAGTTAGAGAAATAGGTATATATGAATGTGACAGAGATTGTGGTTGAATTTGTTTATAAATAGAGATGAAATCCAGATTTTTGGGAATTTGCCATGTATTATTGTAGATATCTAAATATAGTGTTTCTTTACAGATGAAAGAAGTTTTTGAAGAAATATTGCACGGATGTTATTATTATATATTATTGAGTGAGAATTCTAGGGATAATTTAAAGGAGAAAGGTCATCAGGCGGTATATCAATGGATACCTTTGGATTCAGCCATTTCTTTTTTGATCACTAAATCTGGGGGAAGAACATCATCGCTTGAGAATCTTTCAAAACTATTAGCTATGTCTAGAAGGAAAAAGTATATATTTTTTTATTTTCTTCTAAGTTATTGTGGTTTGGGGTATTTTTCCCGCATATCTTTCGTAGAAAGCCGTACATTTGCCACACTTTATTAATTGGTGTAGATGAATTTAATTCTAAAATAAATTTTTTTCATGATTCACATTTAATTCTTTTAATGATAATGTAGCTTGAGTTTTTAGTCGTTGGAATTCTAATTTATTTTCAAGTGTATTATATTTTCTTAATTGATTTATTGCTGTTTTTGAAAGTTTAATAGCTTCTTAACATTTAGAATTCACCCAACGGACTGATGAATTTAATTGTTTGGAATTCATTTTACCAATAATTTTTTCAGTGGCATTTAATAATACATTGAAAAAATTCTAGAAATTGAATATCAATATTATTTGAAACTAGATTCTAATATTGTTGCCAATTTGCATTTTTGATATTCCATTTTACATTACAAGAGTATTGTATACTGTCAGGGTTTGTTATTATAATCGGAAAGTGCTCACTATCATCAGATGTCACCTCCCAAGATAAGGTAGCTTACAATGCTGGATCACATATTGAAAAACTCTAGCAGAGGATTTAATAGTTGAAATGTCAAAATAAGTATTTTTTCATCATGTATTAGGTTTAATTGAAAATTGTACATTATTTAGATGCTCCAACCTAATAGAGTAATTTTTTTATCCCCATACATAATTAGGTGCATTAAACTTTCCAAATATTAGACGAGGTGAAGGTATTTGTTTTATCAAATCTGAGATTTCACTATTGCTTGGGTTTTGTGTAGGTGAAATGTATATATTACATATGTTCATTTTTATAGGCCCTTAATAGTAATTGCGACCGCTTTAAGTTGTGTATTGATTTGAAGTATGTCTGCATCGATAGATGAATGAGTGTACATCTCTACACCACCAGTATCATAATCTACATGTTCTCTATTTTTATAATATATGTACGTGAAGTTTTTTAAATGATGAACTTTAGTATTTTTAAAACGAGTCTCCTGTAGACATAGTATGAATGCTTAAGTTTTTTAATCAGTTATTGTAACATCTTTAGACAAGTGTAATACCCTCGTAAGGTCCACTTCCAATGGAGTAAGCCATTATAATATATCTTTTCAATTTCATTATCGGATTCGGTGTTTATTTCTGATTGTATGGATTTAAGTATTTTGTTTCGAAGTCTAGTGCACTTATCTTTTAGTTTCCTATTTCATAAATTTCCATGTAGTTGATTTAAAAGTTTCAATAGGCTTTCTAGAACATTTGTATAAGTTTTTATTAACTTACTGGGTCAGGGTACCATAAGCTATTTTCCCATATATCAAACTATGTTCCATAAGATATTAAATGGTTTACTGAAGTATATTTATATTCGTCTAGCTGAATCATTTATATCGTTTAATGGTCTTTATGTTTGTGATTGAAGACTTTGGCTTTTTTAATTTTGGGTCTGGAAAAGATTTATTAACTGGGGTATCATTTGGTGGAGGGGTTATAATTTCAGAACGTTTTTGTTTGTTTGAAGGAGGTTGCTGTGATATTTGTTGGGAATCAGTGCTTTATGTAACATGAGTAGATGGTAAATTATGGATATCCGGTTTAGTGGATAGTGTAGGAGCAGAGGAAGATACGGTTTGAGTTAGGGGAATTGTACTTATTATTTATTGGATCAGTTGGAACAGCATTTCGTGTTTGAGTTTCCGATATATTTCGGCAATTTTCATCCGAATGTCTCACTTGCCTGCAATTAGTACATCCTTCTCCATTACAAAAAATATACAATATGATATCATTTCATAATTTACAATTATTGAGTCTGATATTGATGAAACTGGGGGAGAAATAAAAGTTAGCCTTCTGAAACTGCAAACGTGTTTGTAATTAGGAAAATTCTTGAAAAATTGATTGGAGTTACCCTATTTAATCCCAAATTAGAAAGAGCATTTTCAATAATTAAATGTGGGATTAAAGGACAAACATTTGATTTCAATGATCTCTAATCATTTGGTGACATTAATTTACGAGCTTGAATTTGTGGTGGTTTACAGTTATTATTCCTTTATTAATTTGTAGAAAATTGTTAATTAAAGTTTCAGTTGTTAGGTAAATGCAAATTCGACCATTTGACATTCTAGAGGAAATAAGAATATTTTTAGGATGCAATAAATCACCAACTGGAAACAAATATTCTTCCAGCGCATGAAAAACTATTGCTTGTGATTTGGATCGAAATTTACGTACATTTTGATTTATGATAGTTGTAAAGAATTGTTTCATATTTGGATTTGGTAAAAGTTGCTCCAGTTCTTGTTCAGGTCTCCCAAAGGCGGAAAATGATCCATTTTTAATTATTATCATCGATGAATTTTAAAAACCTAGTCCGGTCCTGACCTTTTAATACCAGAATTGACAAACGGTAGGAAAAAAAAAGTTGTTGCTTTATAACCAAAAATTGATTCTTGTTTGCCTGGATTTACCGTAAATGTTGATTAAAATCACTTAGATTCACTTTGTACGTAATACTAATTATTTTGTTGCTTTTTAATACTCAAAAACTGGTTTTATGGGGAGCTTGTTTTAAAACCTACATCTTCGTCAGTAGCTTGAAGTAAAGTTTTCTGTTTACGCTTTGAAAACTGAAATAATAATAAACTTATACCAAGTATCTAATTTAAAATTAGTTTAAATCATTAATTACATAAAAAAAGCTTTTTAACACAGCAGTGTAGACAACCAACATCTCATTCGTATTTATTTGTGACTGCTTATCCAATGTCACTTTTATCCAAGAAAAAAGCAAAATTAAAAATAGCATACAGAATGTCAAAGTCATTATAAAGAAACTAAAAATAATAAAAAATGCAAAACCATTCTTGAAATGTCTTTAAAATAGTTTAAATAATAAAGCATTCAGCATTGAATAAATATGCCATTCACATATTTTATTGTTACTGCAATCTATGCAACCATTATTTCAATTTCGTGTATCTCTAGTTGTATATGATGTCAATAATAATTCAGAAAGGGGTAAATAATAAATATCATCGACTGTTAATCTAAAAAATAAATAGGAACATTCATATTACAAAACAACTTTTATTCAATAAAAACAAAAATAAATATTTCCGATATATGGTGATAGTGATTGAGACGGTGTGGTAAACAATATCCGACAATATGTATGAGCGCAAAAATGTACAAATCAAATAACATTTACTGATATACAGTATACACGTGCACAAATATATGTAACATAACAGGGCTGCCACCCTTAAAAACCATTAAACAATACTCTTTAGGAATATAAGTACAGCATAATATCGCAGTAAAACGTGTATACCTAAAAATACTTTTCACAGTTTAGAGAGGATCATAGCTGGTTGGTACCGTGAAGCTTTTAGTACTTTCAAGGATGATTATTATTGCATTTCTGCTTTTTTTGTCTTGGCAAGAAGAGAAACCTTCGGAAATTGGTTTTTGAATTGAATTTATGCAAAACAGCC